AAAATTATATATAATCATGTCCTGTTTGTTTAAAATTTAGTAAATCTAAAACAAAAGAACCGATATTAACACATGATATACTGGACATCCCATTTTATAAAATAGCAATGGATATAGCTGAAATAGGAGGTAATAATTATTTAATAGTCATAGATTATTACTCTAGATGGATAGAAATAGTTAAATTAGAGAATAAGACTAGTGATGCTATTATTGATGTATTAAGGGATTTATTTAGTAAATTTGGAATTCCTAATGAAATTATAGCAGATAATATGCCGTTTAGTAGTTTGAGATTCCATGAATTTGCTAAAAGCTGGGAATTCAAAATAACAACATCAAGTCCATATTATTCCCAAAGGAATGAAAAGGGAGTTGGCATAGCAAAGAATATGTTAAAGATAAGTCAGTATACAAGAAAAAGTATATTTGAGCATTTATTAGCATATAGTAATACTCCTATAACAGGATTATCAGTTAGCCCTGCCCAACTTTTACAGTCCAGAGAATTAAAAAGTCCACTTGCAGTGAATAGAGAAAGACAACTTAAACCTGAAATAAAAGAGGTATATGATGAAATTTTAAAAATTAAAGATAAACAAAAACAGTGGTATGATACAAGAGCTAAGAAAACAGAGGATACCTATTATGTAGGTCAATCAATTTATGTACAAGATAAATTTAATAAAATGTGGAGACCAGCAATAACTTTTAAAAAATTATCTGAACCAAGAAGTTATTTAATAAAATATGAGAATGAAAAGATATTTAGGAGAAATAGTAGATGGATAAAGGAAATATTAAATAATGAGGTTGACTTGAGTTTAACCAACAATGAAAATAATATGACAGAGGAAAAACATATTAGTGATGAAGGAAGGACAATAAAAAAAATATAAGTAATAAGACTTATGAAAAAACAACTAGAGTGGGGAGAGTAATTAAAAAACCTGATAAATTGAATTTATAAATTAAATGTTAACTGAATTTGTTAATATAGTTTTATACCTATTGTTTAAATATTTTTACTACTTATATGTTCATTCAAAAAATACTGTCAAAACTTTGACATTATATCAGTTATATTGTATTATGTATTAATGTATTTTTCTTTATTGTTATTTCTCTTGCTGTACTCATGAGTGTTATTATATAAATTTGTTTTTTTTTAAATGTATAGTAAATTAATCTTATTTTGTTTGTATATAAAAAAGGGGGATGTGACAGTTGTCTACATGGTCTATTATATTAAAAATGTCACATGTATGATGTAATTATTAAATATTATTAGTTCTATATTATTCACTAA